CAAATACTTATAACTAGAACAAACACACAGAAACACATTCACACACAAAAATGAATTTTGTTAGAAACGTTCCAGTTCTCAGTATTAGGGTTGGTATAACCGCCACGGAATTTCTTCTCAGATCTTAGCAACGATCGACGTATTATAGTGGGTTACCTCTTTTCAATGTTATTCTCTTATCCTTTACCCTTTTTAATGGTGTGATAAAGTGGGTGTTCGGGAGGATTTCGCCACCAGACTAACCAGAATAAATTAATTGTTGGCGGTTTGCTGGACAACTCGGCACAAAGGCACTTGGTCCACAATTTGGACAGACTTATTTTTAAATTCACCAACGAAACTTGCCAACAATAGAACAAAATTTATTTATCTAGGTTTCCGGTTTTTGCGTTATATACCGGTTCCCATTTTCCTCTATTTTGCCTAATTTTCACTACATTTTAAAACACATATAAATAGCTTCAGCTACATTTAGTTTACTACATATCAAGAATATAGCATTAAAATTCAGATGTACTGAGCGGCCATTTTAGCTCTCGCTAACCACTGAACATACCCCACAACTTAGCAACAAACTTGGTAAAAAATCTTAAAGTTTATATCGGGAGCCACACCAACACCGCCCAGTCCAACGTTGGAGGAGCAGATTTCGGCATTGTCAGTCTGGCAAGCTCCTGATATAATTCAATAGACATTGAACTTTTAATTTGGACGGACGACAGTTAGTCAGATAAATTCCATGGACATTGCATAGAAAAAAGTTAAAGTTAGTAAAAGGGGAAACAAGGAGTTTAGTGTCTACTTACCACATTGGGTACAGAATTCCACTCAGGGTTCGTCGACGATCTGCATTGTTTGACTTTTTCTGAAAATACAAGAAAAGAAACGTTATAAAAAGGTTCTGCAGTGTGTTCGGAATGTAATTACAATGCTACTACCACAAACTTAAACATTTTACTTTCACATTGAGATAAAGATGCATATTAAGAATCTTCATCACTTTTATATTGGTTTCGATATTTGCAATATTTTCCTTCTTTTCTTTTTCTTCCGTTTTTTCTTTCCATTTGCATGTACTCACCGACAACGCTTGTTGCCATTCACAAAAGATTATAGATTTGCCATTGATTGATTGATAAATTGTTTGCGTATTTGAGCTTTGGAAGGTAGAACTTGTAGTACAGGGCATGTCATCTGTCGTGACATGACTTAGTTGAATCTTTGCCTCTGAAGCTCTATGTGATAATGATGTCGTATGACTTCTTGGTAGAGTGTCTGCGTTTCCAATGTGCAACTTTGTGTGAGGTTTTTTCTTACAATATAAACATCAGTGCGCACTGAAACATTCCCTTTTGTTATGTCCACTCTTAAGCAGTTATTACATAACCTCTTTTCTCTTGCGAACTCTTTTCTCTGACTAACAGTCATATTATTAAATCTCATACAATTTTTCAAAATATGGTTTTTATAACACATGACATATCTCTTGATTGTGTCGAATGAGCATTTTGATGCGATATATGATCACTTCTAAATTAAGTTTAAGCTGTTTGACTTCTGAGACCATCTATTCGCTCTAGATCCCGATGTATGTTCTTAAGAAAATCTTCCATTTGCGAACATTTGGCTAGCTCTGAATGCGATTCGAGCGATTGTTCCCATAGGGTCAGTGTATCAACCGGAAGCTTAGTTGAACATAAGTATATTAAAATTGGATCCCATCGATCCATTTTATACTATGTCGATTGTATTCTTTTAATATCTTTGCTAGATTCAACCGTTGCTGCAGAAAGATTGAATAATATCTTCAGTTGGTTATCAACTAGTACCCTAACATTTTCGTATCGCACCAATAATGCTTTCCATGCTAACGAAAATTTTGATCAGATAAAGGGTACCGATCTACATTCTACCAGCCTCACCTTTGGTTGTTACGCAAATGATAGAGTTTTTGCGCAGGTGTGAGTCTGGGATGATTTCCATAAATAGCCGTAAACATATCTCTAAATGTTGGCCATTCTTCATAACTTCCGTAGAAGTCTTGAGTGTCACAAGGTGGCACTTAATACAAATCTCAGACATATCAAACGTTGTACCCGGAGAATAAATAGCTGAGCTGTGAAACAAACGCCTCTAGCGGTATTACTTTTGCTCTGCGCCTTTCGATTTTTAATATTTCCAATATAGTAGCTTTAGTCACTTGGTAATTATCTCTGGCGAAAGCAAACATATCTCTAGGCCTCAATTTGTAATCTTCATCTCCCTCATTAAAATAGACACTTTCAAATTCACTGCGTACATTGTGCCAATCTTCATCCATGATTCTAATTTGTTTCTATTAAAGAATCAGACAGCTCGTTCTCTGCTGTGCTTCCTATTTTAATGCAAGTTTGCATTAGGTTTTCGGTCTCGTATTCAAATCTAGCATACAATTTAGAAACCATTTGTAATATTAATTTAAATTAGTTATTTAGTTTATTATTTTTAGTTTTTTATTTTTTTTGATATTTATTGATATTTTTAAAATTATTTTTATTATTCATAAATGTATTATTTTTGAATATACAAACACTTCAACTATCAATTTATTTATAAATTTAGAAATAAATGAAGTTATATAAAATTTCAAATGTGTTTGTTGCGTATATCCTTTTCTCAATAAACGTTTATTTTTTAAACCTTAAGAGAACTATTAACAATGTTGTAATTTTTAGATATATGTATGTTGTTGATTTATGTGATTTAATTAAGATTTATTTTATTATTTGTTCCTATTATTTTATTTTTTGTTATATTCGATTGTTTGTTTATTATTGTGGTATTCAATATATGTACTAGCTTTATACGTTACGTTACTCGTCGCAGTAACTGCACAACTCTTTTTCACCACACCAGCTGATCGATAGTCGAACAATGGCAAATGACAGATCGATCAAAGAAGCAATGAAACAGATGACAAAGCTTGTTATATTTGTTGTTCACGAATGTAAGCAAAACAAAGTAACAAAAATGATGCAGCAAAGTTATTATGGTGTTAGTGTATATTAATTTGTGTTAAGCAACAACAACATAAATTAAAAGAGTTTTCTCTTTAAAATGACTCTGTTGATTATTTGGCAACAGAACAAAAGCGAAGATGACAAATAATAATTGTAAAAAAGAATTGTTTTATTTTGTAGGGGTTCTAAATCTACAGAGTAGATTAGATCCGAAAGTATATTATTTGTTGCACAAAGACGAACAACAAAACTATGAATATTAGACAACACAACAAGTATACAGGCGATACTTACGTGTTGCTAACAAGGCACTGGTGGTTAAGGCTTCAATAAAACACTTGTTATGTATTTATTTGTTAAAACAATTCTTTTTGTTGTGGCAAAGTTTAGCTTCTTGCTTCTTCTAGCTTAGCGATCAATCTCTCTTGATGACAGCAGGTAATTGTTGAGGTATCGATTGTTGGCCTATAGGTGTAATAAACCAGGAACCTCTACACCTGGTATAATTCCCAAAGACATTGTACTCTTAACTTGGACGGCAGAACGGATGACGACAAATCAGTTAAATTCGGTGAATATTGCATAGAAAGAAAAGAGAAAAACGAGTAAAAGTTAGTAGAAGGGAAAACAAGCAGTTAAGTGTCTACTTACTACATTGGGCACAAGATTCCTCTCGCGGTTGAGCTCAAGTGTTACGAATTTGTACGGCCCCGATCTGCATTGTTTGACCTTTCGTTAATATACAAAAATAAAAGAGAAACGTTATAAAAAGGTTCTACAGTGTGTCCGGAATGTAATTACAACGCTACCACCAAAAACTTGAATATTTTACTTACACATTGGGAAGAGCCGCCTCCAGATCAAGCCTAAATAATCTTTATCAGCCGCCAGATATAACCTGAAAATAAAGAGGTTGCCTGGAAAGAGAGAGAATAAAGAATATTAATGGTTTAATGAAACCAAGAAAACCATTTTTTACAATGTATTTTGTTTTGATCTCTTGTTAATAACTTGTTTTTGATGTGTATCTAATTTTCACTAAGACTCATTTTTAAATTGATAGCGATGTATTCGGCTTAAAACTCTTTAAAAGGGTGGTAGGAATGACTTAGAGGGGTAAGTGAAGGGATCGAATATGGGGCACCCTGTGAATAGGGGTGTCATGGCGAGAGGTAATCTCGGTGGGTGGACAGTTTCCCTAACCGGATAGCCGCTAGAGGAAACCTGATTCGAATTAGGAGATACTTGTCTAAATCAAAATGTTAAAGGTGAGTTCGTTGCTTCAAGTAAATCACTTTCGTTGCCTTCATCAATCTGTTCAATATTGCATTTTTCCTTAAACCCAAAGAACACATTTATAAATAATCTTAATGTTTATTAATATAAAGTATCGGTAAGTACTTAATACTAAAGAACAAACGTTTTTATAAAAACAACAATAAAGGGACCATTTGGCAACAGCAATATACTATGTTATCCCGAACAAATAAGCCAACACTGTTCTATTAATAGACAAGGCATGGTCGACGAAGGGGTTTTTGTTGTAACAGACAAAACCAACTTACATGGTTATGCCACTTCGTTCATGTAAAACGAAAGTATAACAAGTGGAGAAAGATGAAAATGTTTATAAGTGCGATTATAAGATTTGGAAGGCTTTTCAAAAGAATTTTAGTTTTATATCATCATTGGAAATAACTTTATTTGGTTTTATCATAGTAAGTAGTTTTATATCTTTACTTGCAATCTATTGAATTTTAAAATATCATATTTATCATCATACTATTTCTAAATGTGTTGCTTAAGTAAGAATTGTATCCACTTATTTGGAATGGGATCATGTGCAGTTTGTTGCACCACTTATCGTACTGTACATTCGTTGAAAGCCGTTCACTACTTCGTATTGCAACATTGAATTGGCGCCTTGCCAGTCGTTGAGTGTTCGTGCCCAACATTTTAAATATTACAAGATCGTGTGTTATTAGTAATGTAAAACGCATTTACTCTTATTATAATATCAATAAAAAATAATAATTTGATTTTTTCTATTTTCTCCCTCTTTTATCTGAGTTCAATTTGAGCGCATCAACATTTGATCCTGTCGAGCTACGATTGAAATAAGAGTCAAATAAAAAAAGGACAGTCTTATCGATGAATTTTAGATTGTCTTCTAAGTTTGTGTGGGAGAAGTAATCAACATCAACAAAATCATCATCTCCATCATATTCATTTCTATACAAACGCTAGGTGTCGTGCATTTTTATTGCAGTGAGCCTGTGAAAACAAATAAAAAAAATACTACAATAACAAAACGTTCACTTTACATCGCGTCGCAGAGTTTCTTTTTTCGTTTGTGGTTAACATCGAACAGTGCAAATGAGAAAGAAACTAATTCGAAAGAATAACAACTAAAAAACATTAAGTTTGCCGGGCCGAACTTTCAATACCTTAGGGTAAAGGAAGCATTTTTATATAAAAGTATCTGAATTCAAAATACCAATATGGATGGGTATAGGATGTGCCCTTAGGAAAACATGGAACTAAATATTCAATGTTCTGCCAGCGGGCTAGAACCCATTATGAACTGCAAATACCAATTTTTATCAAAATATCGAATATCGGGAGGTACAGTTATATGGCGGTTATACCAATTTCTGTACCATCATATACACAATACAAATTGTTTAACTCAGAGGGGCTCCGTAATACGCAGAATGCGTCGAGCAGTAGATCGTAGGCTGAAATGTAAAAGACAAATAAAAAACAATGGTTTTTCTTAATATATATGCAACTATTTATTGCTAGTTTGGTTGGTGGAAACGATATTACCTGTGGCAACATATGCCTTTCTATGCACAACGATACGTGCTTTGCAAACGATATTGTGGGTGTTGTCTGTCCGAATGACAGCGAAATACTACCTGATGTCTAAAGGAGGCGGATAAAAAGTGACAATAATTACTATGCAAGGGAATTGGTTTGTCTGTATAACTTTCCAAACACACGACCGTTGTATACATTCTAAAAGAAAGGTGACTAAATCTTTCCACGAAGTAAGAACCGCTTTGTTTTTAATACATTGTTCCCTTAGCATTGTCGTTTCTTCGATAAGCGTTGCAGGCAAAGAAAGACAAGTATCGGATCCCAATTGATCTGTGGGAACGTCGTAAGTCGACATGAAGGAGATACAACGATTAATTCCAAATCGAATCTCTTTCAAACCAGAGATTGTTTCCTTATCTGGAATTGGAAGTCTAAATAACGAAGACAACTGTCGATGTACCAATATACGAGTATTGTCATACTCATCATGTAATGCTTTCCAAGCCCAACGCAAAAACCACGAAACTGCGAAACTATTTCCCTGGCATCAACTACAGTTTTTTGCAGCAAGTAATACAGGCGCTGCACATCACTTAAAGCGCACATCACTAAATTACTTATAAAAATAGCACTAAACGAATCTTTGAAGGAAGGCCTGGAAGAAAAATTTCCGTTGAAAATATCACTATCATATCATCATTGCCATATTGTGAACAATATCTCAACCAATGAAATATTGCGGCAATCTTTTCCTGCGATTCAGGAACCAAAAGAGATTTAAGCCGATTGCTCATGAGTTTGTCCGCAATTTTAATCGGACTTTTTAATACACAACGATCTTTTATATTTTTTTATTATTGCGGCCATAGTGCTGGAGTAAAATGTTTAAGAAAACATATATATTACTTTCTGCCAAATGCAGATATTCTTTTGTAATATTTTTCGAATTTTCTGAGCTTTGTAAGACTTATAGACCGATTGCAATAGTTTTCTAACTTGCTCTTCTTTTTCACCTAGCATACTAATATTCTAAATCGGTCTCTTTATTGCACCAAGTGTGCACCAAATTCTATCAGGCCAAACGAAGACGTGGACCATTTAGAACGAATTTGGAAATTTTCGAAAAAATAACATTCGCCAAAATTCTGCGAACATCTTAAAAATACGTCATATAGCCATAATATTACGGCTGTACGATGTGCACCTACATGAATAATGCAGCTACAAATCATCAAATACCGAATATTGGGACTGTACATTTATATGGGGCTATACGAAGACTGGACCTGCATATAAAATGATCTGCCTTACGGGCTGTAGATTTATAACGAACTTCAAACACCAAGTTTGAAACAATTCCGGTGAATAATGTCGCTAAACATCAAATACCGAATATAGGTACCGTTATATGGGGCTATACGAAGACGTGGACCTGCATAAAAAATTTTCTGCTTAGGCAGAAATTGAAACAAGTCCGGTGAATAATGTCGCTAAAATCATCAAAATACAGAATATCAGGAGATGCTTATATATGGGGGCTATACGAAAACGTGGACCTACATGGCCCATTTACGAACTTAACCTGCTTACTAGTAAAATTAACATGTGTGCAAAATTTTAGCCTTCTATCCAAATCGTTCGAAAGATAGCGTGATTACAACAGACCGACGGACAGACAGACATGGCTTAATCGCTCTTAGAATTTTACGCTGATAAAGAATTCTATACATTGTTGGGTGTGACATGAGTATTTCGAGGAGTACAAACTATATATAACTTTAATTTTACACGCAATACCAACTAATATCCAAGCAAAGGTGACCGACCAATGTAGGGTAGCTACTCAATCTAAACGGACGCGACGGAAAGAGGGCAAACAAAAATATTCTCCTTTGTTTGTTATGTTCGTTCACTTATCTAACAAAGCACAAACAAGAAGTGCTGATCAGAGAACAACGACAAAGCATGCAGTGATGTTGGTGGATGATAAAGCAGTATGTGTTGTTTGTGACAAACAAAACAGAAAAATGAATTTGACTGTTGTTACAACGAGGAAAAGGAGAATAAATGTAACAACAACAATTTGCTATATTAAAGCGAACAGACCAAACAAAGAGAATAATTATGCGAAATGTGCTTTAGGCAGTAAAGCACACCAAACTATGAACTAGAACAACAATGCCTGAAGGTGATTTTGTTGGAATAAACGAAACGAAATGATTTGTTATTTTACATGAAACAAAACAAAATGAAAATTAGCAAACGGGTTTTGCAACAAATTATTTTCGGGTTTTTGTTTTGATTGTGATGCTGCCGAATGCAAAGCAAATGGTGGATGTCCCACAGAGTTCTGAACAGCAGGTTAGCTAGGGGAGTTTACAGCTGCAAACTTTCACCTTTGATATAGAGCACACCGAAAGGAGCCCAAAGCGTCCATCCCAGATTCGCTGTCAAGGTATGCCATAGAAGAGGTGTTGTGTCTTGTTGAGACTGATGAATAAATAATGCACGATCTTTACGTTATAATGAAATGATACTTTATTATAAATAACTTAATCTACGATAATGCAAAAAGGATCGAATTTGAAAATGGTGACCGGTTTGCTTTGATTGAAATGTACGAATGAATACAAAACAAAGATGCTGTAGTGACAAGTGCCATATGTTGCCACATCGTCACGAGCAGAAAGTATCACAATACAATTACAATGGAGTGTAACACTGACAAGTGGTTACGGATCTCACTTAAGTCACCACAATTCTCCCCCACTAAAACAAGGACATATATGATTACTACGATTAATGCTAATGGCGAACATAATCGCTTAATACTGGGGTTGTCTCCGTTGCCTTGCAGAGGTACGACGACTTGGTGTGGACTCAGCATCAGCGTTTTGGGTAGAGGCTGATGGCGTTCAACTGGTGCTTCGGTTCCGACTGGGGCAGTTGGTGTTGTGGAAGTACCGGGAACTTCTGGATCATTAGCATGTGTACTCATGGAATGTAGGGTGCCATAATTAGAGGCTGATGAGACTGGTTCGCCATTCCCTGAACTAAAATCTGGACCGACCAGTCTGCTCAGTATCTGGAGAATAAGGCA